AATGTGAGAATCGGGGATGATATTGTAGGGAGAAATTTGATGCTAGTCACTCCCAGGGTTTAAAGGGTTAATAGCAAACAATCATCACAGAGAATTGCCAACTTTCAGTTTTGAAGGAAGCCTTTTCACTCCCAAGATCTCAATAGTAACTCTCCTTACTGTCTGCTATAATATTCTTGTAGTGGGGATAATTTTGGTGTTGGATCAATGAATAATCCCATAACTTATATTTTTCTTTATTCTCATCACTTGTCTGCATAGTATTGTATTGATATTTTAAGGAGAAATTTTGTCGTGATCACTTGTTCAAATTGAAGGGTTAAAAGATTAGTACTAATCTGAAACAACCTGAAAAAAAAAGCCAAACTTCTATGGTTGCTTACTACTTAAACTGTTTTGTTTAGGGTTTGACAATAAACTTAAGAATCCGTGTGCAAGTGTAAAGTTACTGCCTGCAGCCACCTCTTACCTGACTCACCCATGCAGGGTTTATCCAGGTTCACTTAATAACAAACTATACCATCAGAGAACTGGCAATCTTCAGTTTTAAGGGTAACCCTTAACATATTCTGGTATGTTCAAATAGAAAAGGCTGAGGGGTTTGAATAACATTTTCCATAGGTGCCTGCCGATGGAGTATTGGGTACTTGCAAGCTAAACAGATGGTGGTGAGGGGTCTTACAAGTGACAATAGACTGCTGGTAACTAACTTTTACTGAAAACTTTTCCAAGGATAAAATTATGATGCACCCAAACTACATATCAGAAAAGCTTTTTCAAAATTTAAATCCAAAAACTTTAATTACCATGTAGTCCATACAGTGCCTTCTGACCACTGAGTGCATTTCTTGATCACCATATACATGTTCGGCTGTAGAGAGGTAAAAATTTTTTTACAAGATTAGAATAAACCATACAGATGACTAGTGCTCTTTGCACATGTTCACTGGCTAGTTCCAAAGTGATTGGCTACCACTAATAACCTCTAAGGAGCCAAAGAGATAATTTCAAACATTCTTCAGTACATTGATAGAATTAAGTGCTTTTTGTATAGTATATATTACAACAATTGTTCACCTCAGTGTCAGTTAACCTTTAACTCCCATGAGTGACCAAGAGCTAATTTCTCCTCACAATATCAATACGATAACAACCATACAAGTGATGAGAATCAAGAAAAACGTCAATGTGGGGATAAATAGTCAATTCAATACTAAATTCTCTGAACTAAAATTATAAAAATTGTATGGTTGACATTAGGGAGAATTACAAATTTTGTGTGGGAGTTAAAGGGCTAAAGAGGAGGATCTTTATCCCACCACTTCATGTCACTGTAAATATCCACCACTTTCACCTCCAACTTAGTGAGCAATTGTTAATTATTTCATGCAGTCGTTTAAGTCTGAGTATTTCAAGAGGAATTCAGTGAATCACAATTAATTCCTCACTGGAAAATTATGTACCAACTGTACCACATCATAAGAGCAAGTGCAATTACAATCACCTGCAGTAATATATAAAATGTGAAATAATAAAAGAAATGTAGGCTGATTAATACAGCCTCTGAGATTTTCCTGACAGATAATTCTTTAAAGGACAACAGCTAATAACTCGAAACCTGTTAAAATTTCCTTGCGTTACAAGTATCTTCTCACTGGTGACATCAATAGTGTGACCTTTAATATCAGGCTGTACAGGAGCCAATGAAATACAAATTAATTTTCTTTTTACACTTTTGACATAACTTTCATTTGCAATTAGCCGACAAAAGGATTTTATCCAATCCCTAAACAAAGGGAGATATTTAACCTTTAAAGAGTTTTTTCAATGTTCAAACTAAGTGTTGGTTGATAGCAGTCATATCAAATCAAGATCACATAACAATGTGAAGTCTAAGGTGGTTCTTTCATATGTTATCCAATGTTAAACAACATTTAAGGACTTTTCCATCCAAGTAATAGTGGTTGCATTGTTGTAGAACAATCAGACATGAGAAATTCACAAAAGTTGCAAACCAGAAAGCAAAAAGAAAAAAATTATCAAAAAGAGTAAATGAGTAAAATACCTCAAAATCATAAAAAATTTTAAGTCTCAAATTGGCGATTATGAAAGAAAAGACGTTGCGATTTGCAAAGACAATTTTTCAGACAATCAATTTTAAAGATGTCATTCATGAGAATCCTAAGTCTTCAGTTCCCCACTGATATCTCAGAACTTGATCTTCTCTGGAATTTTCCTCAGGTGAAACTATGGCCTTAAAATATATATTTGCTCTTTTGTAACAAGCCATATTGAGACCACAAATTATAGAAAAAAAAATTGCAAATCAGAATTTTTTCCTACAACCAAATGTCAGTGAAAGAAGCTAATGAAAAATCAAGCGCTAGTGTAGAAATTAAATGCTCAAAATTTTATCAAATGGGTTGCAATCGAGACCTGCAAAAATTAATTTGCATATTGGCAAAGAAACTTCACGTTAAAACCGGGATGAAAATTATAAGACAGGTATAACAGTTACTACGCCACGAGGGCAAGGTACACGTGCACATGTGATGATGCTAATTCCGGGGATCAGAGTGAGCTTAAAACCATTTTCTGATCTTAATAGAAGTTCCCAAATCGTGTTCATCCAAAAAATGTAAATGCACAATAAGCCGGTCAGATGTACAACATTAAAAGCTGATAATGCAACTTGAAAGCCAGTCGATATGAAGAACGCATATCGAGATAAGAGTACATCGTTTCTCTTCGACCAGATGTTACAGGCACGGACAGAAACGATTCCACGGAAAGGAGAATAAAAGAAAGACAAAATGTGAAAAAAAAACATGATTTAGCTTTCGCTTATTACGTGAGATGATTAATAAGTAGAAAGTGTTTTACGTACCAACCGCTCGAAATAAACAAGCACCATCTTGTGCCATTTTCTTGATAACAAAACCTTTCTTTTCTTTAAGAGCTTGTTCAAACTGTCTCTCCATCTTCAAGAAATCAAGTAAAAATAAAACGTAAGCGTTAATACCCAACAATTTCCTCCAGAAGCGTAAGAACAAAAACGATACCAACCTCTTCGGTCGACAAAGGTTGGTCGGTTTGGGTACACTCATATTCATCGGAGCTGTTATTTCCCGCTTCTTCACTGTGCCTTTCATGATATTTGTGTCGATGTGGAGGACTTCTATGCCTTCTCTTCGAAGTGTTAGAAGCTACATCAGCCGCTTCTCTACTCTCAAAACTATTTCCTAGGTATTGCTCTTCGCCATGGCCAGAATACTCTTCGGTCGAGCGATTTCTTTCGGTAACGCCAGCGGAAGAAGTCCAAGAAGAATTATTGCGTATCCGCGTTCTGTTGTCATTGCTTGAACTCGTATCAGTCTTCTTGGATTCTGAATGCTTTTTCTTCGGTAAAATGGTCATGACGAGGCACTAAAAAAGCTAAAACAATGAAAACACCACAAGAATCCGAACCCTTTCAGACTGTTATTAGAATTAGAAATTTTGTGATCAGCGGCGTGACGTCACCAAATAATATATGCGCACAAAAATGCGCAGAAAGAATGATCCGCGCTATGCTTTATGGGTATCCAAGATGGCGTACTAGTTGCCCTTGGTCAAATTACCTACTCGGTCATGATATATTAATGCACATAAAAAAATTAATGAATATTATATTTGGGAAAGGGTTGGTTAATAAAAGTGAAAGAAGGGTATATAGTAATCCGAAATTTGATAAAACCAAAGGCAACCAGTCATTCTCTCGATGGGAGATTCCTATAAGGAGAGGAGTATATCACTCAGGGCAATTTTTTCCTACCACTTCCTTTTCCCGAATCAGAATTGTTTGCTTTCTTTTGAAAACACACGATAGAGACTATTCGAAAGCGCATGACCCATAAGGAATCACGTGGGGTGCAGGGTGAGGTCAAAGATTTCATATCTATATTTCCCCTCTTCGTCAAGAAAAACTAGCAATTTCTACTGCCAAAATGACATTTACGCTTAAGCTTGACCCCCCCATCAATGACTTTAGGTGACGTTTCCCCTTCTGCTCCCAGTGGAACTACCCATCACCTTGCTTTGTTTTTGGCTTCTCTCTGCCTGCCTTACTGTTTGTGTTGTCTACGGTTCTTTCTTCAACTGTTTTAGAGACGACTTCTTTTCCTGAAGCTGCTGTAAAGGGCGTGATATGTAGGCGGCAATGCTCGCCGGGGAATAGGCACCCTGAACCGAACCCCAGACAAGAGATCCAGCTTGCAGGCTTAAGAGACAGTGGTAGGAGGTGTTAGCCAGCGGCGGTATACTGCCGGCAACCAGCTTCAAGTGGAAATTTTATACTGGACTAGGCCTACTTAATCCTTCAGTGGTTCCAGTTACGGGCCGAGAACAGAAGGGTTTGTTTCCAAGATTAGGGTCACCAATCAAGTTAATATCTATTCCATCCTCCCGAAAGATAAGCCTCCTCCGGATCGCTTCAATCTTTTCATTCCGAAAGAGCATTTTTCCTTAATGCACCTTTGTAAAACTGAATTGTTACGAAATCTTAAAATCATGCCAGGGTACTTCATCCTCAGCTATCAATGTTTGTCTGAAAGACTGAGTCTTACAACTGAATATAATGCAACTTTTATTGTCATGATAATTTATGTTAAAAAGCATCATGAATTCATTACACCATTACACCCTTTTGAACCTCGTCATCTTCTTTGAAATGGCGTCGTAGCTTAAAACAATTGAAAGTTTAAAAACCGTTTCTGGCTCATTACTTCGATGAGATTTTTTTTTTAACGAAACCTTTTTTAATTTAATTTAGTTCTTCATCATCTTCAACGATGGAAAACTGATCAATCTTCAGTGAACTACTAATGAGAATAAGGATAACCTTGCTGACAAGACAGCTTCCTGCAAAACAAACCAAAAAAGCGTACGAATGTATAGCGAACAAGAAAGATCTAAAAGTTGGGCGATATCACTTGGAGTAAATACATACATACATACATACTTGTTCACGTGATGCGTTTAGACCAACTACCTTTATCACTAAGAGGTCACATAAATTGTCAGCTGTCTGCTAGCAGTTACTACAGCAACCTTTAAGCATTCTTTGAAAACTGCTTATTCTATAAATATTTTCATGATAGACGGTTCTTTATCTCTATTCTTTTCCAGTGGAGGAGAGAATAATATTTTCATCAGCTGTCGTTTAAATCCTCAATTTTTTCCTTTAAACTATCATGACGATGGTCAACAGACCACAAAGGTGGCAGGTGACGCGGGCGCATCGTGTCCAAAAAGTGCTGTCTCCACATTTTCTCAAACTCGAGCAATTTTCCCTCTTCCCGGATCTTTTTCACGACTTCTTGCCCATGAGACACATAATTCGAATTCTCTTTCCGAGTTTCCATTGTTGCAGCTTCTTGAATCATTTCAGGAGTCAAACTGGAGGTCTTAAAATGTTCTTGGACAATGCAAGTGAGTTGTTCATGCCTGGCTGAAGGCAAGTTTTGTCCAGCATAGTTCAAAGCTTTTGCAGCTGATTTCACTTTCTTTAGATCGGGATCTTCCACGAGGCGGGCCACACTGGCATTTCCTGGCATGAAGAAAGACAGAGTACAGAGGAGGTGAAGCAATATCAATACATTTTCAGGCAGAAGGGCAATGAAAAAGAATATAAATATCAGCTAAGGATATTGTTTGATTCAGCAGCAAATCTCTACATCAAACATCAAGAGAACTATATGAGAGATAGTGCTGAGAATTTACGTTTTGATATTGGGAGTGAAATGGTTAAGAATCTGATTTTCCTCTGCTATAGTTCTTACCCAAAGGGGCATTGTACTTCCTTTCCAGCTCTTTCCTCAACTTGTCATCGTGAAATGCGGAAAGACGATGGCATTCAGAGCACATAAGTAACACATCGTGGGAATGATGATCTTTCAAGACTAGTGGAAAGTATCTGCGGTAGTCGTGAAGAACAATATTTTTCCTCAAATAACTCTTATCACTACCACACACAACACAAATATTGTCTTTAAAATTGAGGTAATAAGAATCCTCTGACCCAGGCCTTCCTGAGGGTTCAAAGTTGAGCTGGACTGTGTATGGGTCAAGGTTTGTCAGCTTGCCTATAGAAAGTCAATGAAAAATCAAAAGTTAAGTTTGACACACATCTGCATGTACCCAGGTGTTCAGTTAAATCTAAGCACAGCTTTTGCACTAATCATCAACTGTTTACACCCTAACATCACAGGGCGTGAAATTGCGCCTAATACAGGCGCCAATGCGCCTAAATTTTTCACTTTGGCGACCAAATCCTGAAAGTTAATTGCCAAATTGGCGACTAGAACGTTTCACCATAACCTTACCAAGAGATATAGTGAATTAAAAAGATTTGCAAAGATAAATCCGCGGCAAACTTCCTCGTCAAGTTTGTTTCCAAAACGTAGCACATGCATCTCGTTCGATAACTAGACGCCATCTTGGATTTAGATGAGCCTGAACGTTGTATATCGTCCATCCTAGTGTCCACTTTGTAGCACGTCAAAGATCTTTCCCTAACTTAATTTTGGAGGGTCTATCTAGAACGCTGACAGCGTAAAGAAAGATTTTGTTTGTCTTTGAAAATGGCGGCCAACTTTTTTTGAATTGGCCACCACTTTGAAGAATTTAGGAGCCAAGTGGCTATCAGAAAAAAAGTTAATTTCACGCCCTGCATTAGTATCTATATTCGCTCTACTCTTATCCATACATTTTCTTTGGTACTGACAAGGAGAATTCACTGAACAATCAAAGTTTCTTAGGGTGATGATCATTCTCTCTATTATCTTAATGAATATTCAGCAGTATCATTTTAAGGAAATTAAATTATAGTCACTCAAGGTTTACTGGGTAAAACAAAATTCCACATGCATATGAAATTTGTCTTGTAAAAGGTACGTTGTGGAAAGCAAGTGAAAAATGTTATCCCTTCCAAAGATGGTTTTCATTTGCTTTCCAACTAGCTCTTGTCATCTACATGTGGAAAACTTGGACTCAAGCAAGCACCACAAGAAAAAAGTTGGTTTTACTTACCAATTCCCTTTTCAATATACCAATCAGCCTTCTTGCGATCCAGAGTACACAACCTTGATCCATCAGGTGCAGCCAGCATGCAGTTCATGTAAAGAGGGGATTTTCTAATGGTACCTCTTTTGTAAGGCTTCCTGTTATGCATTTCTGTCACGTTTTCTTGCTTTTTGCCTTTATCCTTGTCTGTGATACTTTCTACATTCTTAAATGATACATCAACAACTCCTTGACAGAGTGAACTAGCTCTTTGACAAAAGACTGAATCTTGTAGAAGAGAAAGGACTTCCTCTTGACAAAGATATCCTTTGTCATCATCATGTCCTGACTCCAACTTTTTTAGATCTGCTGTAAAGGTTAAAACATCAAGCTCCTCTGTGTCAAAAATAAAACCATTGTTGTATTCTTTAAGCTTCTGTTCAACATGATCACACATTCTAGAATCACAGCATTGCATCTGGAAATAATTTTCTTGATTACCAACCATGCTGATGCTCTCTTCGTGCAACACAGATCCAGAATGTGTGCTCAAACTCTTTTTCACATTGACAGGTTCCCCAGCTGGTGTGACTACAGATCTCACCATTTTTCGTGCATCCAGTTTAGATTTTACCAATCTAAGAAAAATATGACTCCCGACCATGGCATCATTCATTGCATACTCAATCTGCCTTCTTTCAAACTCATCTGCCTCCCAGTTGCTACAGCGAATTCTCCAATACTTGTCCATGGTCACACCAAGAACTCTCTTAGCTAAGGCATCCAAGCTCATCTTCTGATTTCTGTCAACAAGAGAGACAAAAGGCATTTACAACAATCTATAACCAGGAACACAGAGGGCAAATAGAGAAAGATGTCTTTTGAAAGAGTGAGGAGAGTTAAACCTTTCCATCTCAACATCAGGATGCATATTCTCCATACTGTTCTCTACACATATCTTGAGTTGCTGACAAGGAGAATTTGTCAAACAATCAAGAGCTCTTTTAGTTGGTGATCAATTCCTTTAATCTCCTGATACTAATACATGATTCAGAGGTAATATTGTATGGAGAATTAGAGGTCAAAGGTTCAAGGGAGAAATTGGGACTAGGTATTTGTTTACATACCTAGACTGGACAATGTTCCCCTCTCGGCATCTCTGAATCACGTGTCTCAGATCCACACAGCCAGACACATCAATACCACACATCCCTGACAATCTCTTGGCATCGTCCATTATTCCAACGCCGAATTTAAGAATAGTCTTATCTTCTAGAATGTCTCTTACTGATTCAGGCATTTGGCCATCCATTTTACACAAACGAATAAGGAAGCAATCAGACAAGGGTGTTGCAATCTGTAATAATGCAACCGGAGAGTTTTTCTGATGTTTAATATTTACCCACTCGCAATCTATTCCAAGAAAATTCAATTTAAGAGGATACTGTGACCTGTAGGATTGCAAGAGTTTGTCACATGATGCCACATCATCAAGTATGAAACCACGCATAGTCTTCGGTTTCGATTCTTGGTTGGAGGCGGAGTTTTTTGACGGTATTTTGCGATCAAACGTTCTATTTAACTGTTGAGTTGGACCAAGGAAAACAATGCCAAGGAACCATCTTATAAACATAAGGAGTGAAAGACTTACTGTTCCAATAACAGAATATAAGCGTGACGGTCTGACTTCGATTTCTCGGCCTCTATCAGATTTGGGTTCCCCAAGATCAATTTTACGCTTACTAGCGTTAGAAAGAGTCGTAAAGGAAGTGATAGTCGCGTTCCTTACTTTAGATGACTCCATTTGACCGATATAAAGGAAAATTTTAGAATACAAAGCTCGTTTACCGGCTAAAAAGCGCAGAATGTACATATTATGCCATTATCTACTAACGCACATGGCGGCCATAATCGTCACCAGTCTCAACTCACAGTTTACGCGTAGGATCATGGGGCCGAGTCGCGCAACCTTTCGGGCGAGCCAAAATCTTCATGAATTTTGCTACAGTTTTTATTATTATTATTATTATCATTATTATAATTATTACTATTATCACCATTATTTAGACTATGACAAAAGTTGGCCGAAGAAGGACTCCAGGTGGGGCTGGAATCAAAAGGGAGGAGTAATTATTTCGGGATTCCCAACGGAACCTTACTGGGATTTACCATTCTCTGTCGGAATGCTACCGAAATTTCCGTCGGGATCTTTTGTCGCTGGAATGTTACCAAGGTTGCCGCCGGTATCTCACAAGTTTCCCCCCTATCATTTAGCAGAAGGGTTCTTTCCCTACGGTGGGGTGCTGGCCTTTTAGAATCTCTACCCCATCATTGGTCTACTGTGTGGCCAATTATTTTTTTTTGGTAACACGGTAACAACTTCAAAATCGCACATCCCATTTTTAACCCTCATCTTACCAAATTTTTTTTGCCCCAAAATCCTGAAAATTTAATCAAGGGATTCGTCTCAGCACCAAACATTTGAACACCAATTTCAAAACGAACCAATCAAAATCACATAAGAAAAAAGTATATTCAGAGAAAATGTGATAGTCAATGGTTTGATTTGGACACGCTTCTAAGAAAATACTTGTCAAATTTCGTGTTGCATTATAGTTTTGATTTATAAATAGACGTAGAAAGATTTTTCGGCTTCTGAACGAGTAGAAGGTTAAAATACGAGGGATATTTCATTTCTTGACAGTGTTTAAACTGCGAACAAATTTTTACAACCACTAAAACAACTTTCCAGTCAAAGGACACACCCGAAAAAAGATACTACTGGAGCATTTTTCGATTGAATGTCCATAATCATTAGCCAATGAGAAATCAAAGCAAAAACAAGCTACCTGCTTTAAGCGCGGGTAAAAACGAATGCCCAACTCGCGGTTGTATTTAGTTTTGCATCTCATTGGTTGAGAGGATGGGACGCGAGTTTTCTGGACCCATCACACAGCAAAGCAAAGTAAAACCAAAGCAACCCCAAATTACTTCCGACACTCAACTGAAAATTGCTTTAAGAGAACACCCAAACTTCCAGAGGCTTCCTACTCTCCCTATATTCTTGGTAAAAGTTTGTTCATATTCACGTCCTCTATGGATAATTTGAAAACGATTGTTTTCCTTTTCCCAAATTGTTCTTTATCCAGTTTGCACACTCTCCTCTTCTTTCTTTGACTGATAGTCAAGGATTTCTTTGTAGATCAGTTCTGAAAGAAAACAGAAGATACTTTTGTAAACATGGGCAAACGTGTTCTTCAATGTTCGTCATTCCACCCTTAGAATAATCTCCTTGAAAAGAAGTCTGACATCAAATTATGATGTAAAGGAGCTAAGTAAAAGCGAAAATTTCTTTCATGTGGATAGTTTTGTATCCATGTCAATCTTCTCCATCTTCAACCATCTTCGTTCCGTTTCTTTATTATTTCCATTTTCGATGTTTTGCCATCCTCCTGAACCGATATTTTTTGGTTTCTCTTGCGAATAGGGTAACTTTGCATGTTTCACAGAATGACTTAAAATATTGAACTTGGTAGTAAAGTGTTTAATACCTCTCCATTTATCGGTTGGCCAGTCCTTGGCTTCAAACGGTACTCCATCAAATGGCTCACATTTTGGCTATCAAGGACAAGAGAGATATGTTCTCCTAGTACATCACTCTCGATGGCTATCCTACTTCCAGATATACCACACTCAACAACGGTAGGTGTCAGAAATATAGATTACTGCCATATTAAGTACTTTCCACTAAGTTAAGCTTAAATTAGTAATAACAGGGGGCACTATAGAGCATAGCCAATCAGATTACAGGATCAAGTAGCATGTGTTACACAATGCTGAAATGTGATTGGCTGTGTCCCACATTACCCCTTTTATTACCAGTACGAGACCTACACTTCATTGTGTGAAAGGTATCTTGTTGTTTTGTACTCATGATTGTTTCGTAACCAAATTCAGAAAATACGTACCCAGTTTGAGTCGGTTAGTACCCAAACCATCTTTCGTTTCGTACCAGTCGAAATGCCCTTCGCCCCCGCGCGTAAACAGATGTCGATCGTTGCGTGCGACAAGTAAGTAGGGTCAAGCGAGTAAGATACAGGCAAAATTCTGTTAAGCATACTTGTGACCTTATTAATGATTATTTCCTAAGGCGAGGTAAGTGTGATATCCTTACTAGAACAGTCTATTGTTTACGCTTGACTTTCTTAAAAATAACAGCTAGTGGGTGATTTCTTTCCCTTTGCTATTAATGGTATGAAGTTCGGGAATTCTATGATTTCTAAAAATTGACTTTTGCTAAGATTAACATAAGTTTGAAATGTAAGTTCACTCAGGATGGAAAATCAATACATATATCTGGTGGAAATATTGTTTGTGTCTGCCTTATGACTCCCACACCCCGCAGTTTCGGTTCCAGGCCTTACATTACGTGGTCGCGTATCAGAAATGGACGCCACGTAAACAAAACTTAGTTTACTTAGTTAGCTGGTGAAATTGCCATTTAAAATAAGGAACTGACACTACTTTTAACTTATTTAACATGGAAAACACACTTTATTAGTATTGATACGAAAAGACTCAACTAACTGGGTACGAATTGACCGAGCTGGGAACGAAACGACCGTGGGTACGAAACAATTGGTAACCCAGTGAAGCTTGTCTTCTTTTACACCTAGTTGCAAAGTAGATTGCCATCTAAGAGACTACTCCAGCTTTCTGATTGGTTTATTTGTACCAAGTGGTACACACTCCTAACACCTGATTAGTTGTGTCCCATAGTGCCCGCTAATATTATTACCATTATAAATAAGGGACCTATACTTCCTTGTGTAAAACATGTCTTCGTTCTCACCTGGTTACAAGTGAGGCAGTTTATTGACCATGCCACAGAAACTAAGTATCATCACAAAGGATAAAAGCAAAGAGTACTTACCCTGCATAATTCAAAATTATATTCAAACCCAATACCATTTCCCAAATTACAAAAATTTGCCTTTAGATTGTTTTGAGTGTAGCTGAAAACTATTGAACCAAATAATATATCTAAACTAAGAACCAGGTTCAGCTAATATAACAGGGTGATTCAGTATTTATCAACTGAGTTGATAACGTAAATTGATCACCGTAAAGAGTTTCACAGCTGACGTATCGAGCGTCAGCCCTTCGTCGGAGTGAATGGAGTCGTGTGTGTTTATATGCAGAAAATGGAGCTACGGTATTAGTGGGAAGAGTTGAATAAAAAGCGCTCGTTGATACCGTGGGGACTCAGTTGATAAAACCAAATTTCCCTGTTTTACTTTCCCACCGACGTAGCACCACTTACCTTCTTCATTCAGCTAATATAAGCTACGTGTAACCTTTAACCAAGTTCGATTATTTAAAGTAAACTATCCCAATTAAGGAGCACAGAAAATCTATGGCATTTTTTAAAAATTTTTATGTCCACTTGAGGATTACCTCGTCCTCTACATCTGCATAAGTAGCCACGTAAGGATGTTCGAGGGCTTGTTCTGCTGTGATTCTTACCTCTGGATCGAGGTTTAGCATCCGTTCCAATAGATCTAAAGCTGAATAAGGCCAAAAAATATAATGTTTCAGAGCCTGCAGAGTTGTATTATTTTGTGCATTTTAAGGCAAATAAATGCAAAAGAGAGGCGTCGTTTTCGCGCTCCTCCTGCATGTGACTTGTCTTTCACCCTCGCCTCACAATTACCTGTGCTTCCCTTAAAAAGGGAAAAAATATTAAGCCTGTTTTGTAGGTTAGGTGAAAGTTTGATAACAAGCTTTTCTGATTATTCTGGCAGTGATGATGACATCCACAGAAACAGGAGTCCCAAATCAGATAGGATGACACACCCAGTAGACCAAATAACAAAAGGACTCCCAGGGTGCTATCAGGTAAAGAAGAGATGTAGTTGTTTTGCACTGCTTGTCTAGGAGTCCTGTGTCACGTTATAGCACGCCTAAAAATTTGCATCTTGAACAGACGTTGCTATGGTTTCAATTTGAATTTTATGTTAATCAAAACACATGATGACTTCTACAAAAAATGAATGAATTCTGTTTGGAAATGAGTTGAAAGATTTGGTTAAAGATGTGTGGGGTAACCTTGTTTTACTACTGAGGAGAAACTTGTTTTACTACAGGGGGCAACCTTGTTTTACTACAGGTGGCAACCTTGTTTTACGTCAGGGGGCAACCTTGTTTTACTACAGGGGACAACCTTGTTTTACTACAGGGGGCAACCTTGTTTTACTACAGGGGGCAACCTTGTTTTACCACAGGGAGCAACCTTTTTTTACTACAGAGGGCAACCTTGCTTTACTACAGGGAGCAACATTGTTTTACTACAGAGGGCAACCTTGTTTTACTACAGGAAGCAACTTTGTTTCACTACAGAGGGCAACCTTGTTTTACTACAGGTCGCAACCTTGTTTTACTACAGGGGGCAACCTTGTTTTACTACAGGGGGCAACCTTGTTTTTCTACAGGGGGCAACCTTACTACAAGGGGCAACTGTTTTACTTTAGGAGGCAACCTTGTTTTACTTCAGGAGGCAACCTTGTTTTACTACAGGGGGCAAACTTGTTTTACTGCAGGGGTAAAACTTGCAAAGGTGTTAGGGGGGAGGGAACTTACGCAGACCTCCATAAACCCTTCAACCTGATTTTGCTTGATTTTCAGTTGACCATGGACATCATACCTATCAAAAGGCATGCCTCCTAAAGGTACCTCATGGTAACATTAAATTTACTTGCAATAAAAGAGTCAATACATACATTTACATACCTTGTGGGTCAGCATGAACAAAAAACTCTCTAAATGGTCTCTTTTCATATTCTGGCATTGATGCTATGTACCTTCTTGCCTGTAGAACACATAAAATGGTTAAGATCTACTGACTGTTCCAAAAAAAAACCACATAATTTTGACCTATTGACTGCCAGACTGACTGATTGACTAACTGATTGATGGACTGATTGACTGACTGAGGGGCTGACGGGCTGGCTGACAGACAGACAGAGTGGCTGACTGACAGAGTGGCTGACTGACAGAGTGGCTGACTGACTGAGTGGCTGACTGACTGACTTAACTGACTGACTGAACTGACCGACTGACTGATTTACTGGCTGACTGGCTGACTAGTAGATGGACGGATGGATGGGCAGTTGGACTAGCTGACTGACAATAATAATTTAGATCAAATCAACTATACTTACTGAATCACTGCTGATTTTTGCCAGGAAATCTTTACCAGGTTTCCCAACAATTTTTATAATTCGTGTCAACTGATCAATATTTTTTAACAGTTAAGGCTCAGCAAGTTACTTATGTAACAATACATAAATAATTACTGGTTTGCAAGAAACAAGAAGACAAAGAAAAATTTAGGAGGAACTTGTTCATTAATCTTTTTATTTTCTTTTAAGTACTACCAGTGAAACAAGATCAACTTTTTTTTACTATATAAAAGGAAAAAAAGTAATTAAAAGGATATGATCATTCCCAGGAAACAGTGTTTCACCTGTCAGAAGCTCAGCCATGATGCAACCAACAGACCAAATATCCACTGCAAAGGAGGAAAACACCCTTCATTTAAATACTGAAATATGTATGAATACCATGTTCCCTCTAGTAAGACCCCACAATCTAATAAGCACCCTCCCCAGAGTAAGCCTTCACCCCAGAGGCCATAATGTCAAACAAGCATCCTTCTTAAATAAGCACTCTACCCCCTCCTCCCTCACTTCCTTCAATAGTATGAGTACATGGAAGACCTGTTCCTACTGCCACTTTTATTTATAAAGTGGCACTTTATTTAGCTATATTTGTAACTTTTTAAACTTCAAATATGGTAGAATCAGTACAGGAGAACCGTTTCTTCTCTGTTAAGTCAATTCAAGTCATTTCTATCTCCATATCAGCTTTAAGCCTACATGAACAATGACATAGTTTTTGTTTATCTATTGAATATGGATTATTTATTTAACGGATATTTTAACTAAACTCGTTTGTCCAAGGATGCGACGATTACTCGCTTTCTATGATCACGAAAAAGATAGAGCCAATATAAGATACGGTCATTCTGCATTTCAAGAACTGGCGAGTATCGAGCGAACGTAAGATTGATACTTTGAACAGCCCGTAACAGAATGATAAACAAACAGTTGAAAGTTTTCCTTGGAACGTTAAACGAAAAGAATTTTTTTCAACGGATTAAGAAACTGTTTAAACGTTTTTGTTACAGCGTTAAACGGATGCAACTTTTTTTAAACGGATGAGCAAACCGCTTAAATGTTTTACCAAAAGCATTAAACGGATGCAAGTTTTTTTTAAACGGATGAGCAAACCGCTTAAACGTTTTAGCTAATGCATTAAACGGATGCAAATTTTTTTAAACGGATGAGCAAACCATTTAAACGCTTTCATGAACCGTTTAAACGGATTTAAACGGATAGTAAACGGTTTCACAGTTTAAACGGATAGTAAACGGTTTCACAGTTTAAACGGAAAAGCGTTAGTGTCCGTTTTCCCATGGAGGGTCACATTTACCAAAATAAAGATACAGTTCCTTGAAAGCAAAACTAAATAAGCACTCTCCTTTCAATAGGCACCCCTCCTTTTAGCATAAATTTTAAAAAAGCAATATCCGACATTAGTCAAAGTGTGTTACCCTAACCCTGATATACAACATTTTCTTTTTAGAGAGAGATGTTTTTTATCTTGTCACGAGCATAGGACAAAGAAAATATTCTGAGCCCTGATGAGGAATTGAATCTCAGACGTTTGGCTTCTGTGCTCTGATGCTCTACCACTGAGTCACAGAAACCCTGCTGTGAGCCAGGTCTATTACGAAGTTCATGACAGACGTCCTGCATACTGCTAGGATCAGCAATGCTGATAGCCTCATGCTAAATGTAAATAGAAACTTTGTCCCACACTCGTGACAAGATGAAAAACATCTCTCTCTATTTCTTTACTGCGCTCAAAACTTTCCATCTCTCTTATTCTATTTATGTAGAATAACTATTGAAAAATCGAGCAGTTCATCCACCAATCACATCAAGGAAAATTGCAATCATTATGGTTACTATTAGCAGGGAAAATGCAGTGCTGTTTGAGGGGGAGGTAATTTATCAGAACCAAGCAGACAAATGATTAGAATAAAGAAAAATATCAATACAGGGATTTTTAGTCGATCCAATGTCAAATTCTTCGAGAACAGTAAGGAGAATTACTGAGATCTTGGAAATGAAAGTGTTAAAAGAGAGTCATAAAAACTACAAGCTAGACACAAACCTGTTTGATTATAATGCATCCAGTTGAGCATGATTTCTGGTGCTCTGTACCATCTTGTTGCTACATAACCTGTCATTTCCTCTGCCACTTTTCTGGCCAAACCAAAGTCAAGAATCTTACAATGGAAAAAGGTTATTAGGGCATGTCTTGACAAGCCTCAAACTGTTTTTATCTCAAAAACCATAGCAAGTCATGCCGTTACTGTAAAGAAATGCACTTAATTAAAGCAAACAGAAAGCTAACTGATCACTCCTGAAGGGGTACAAACACTAAAAAACAACAACAACAACAACAACAACAAATCTAATTTTGAAAATTATTTCTTGAGCCTTTTTTCTCTCTCATTTGATATTGGAACAGCCTTCAGTGGGTCAAAATTAAAAGCCATATGGTTCTATGCTTTATTTTTTTTTCTTGCATGTAATTTCCATCCTGTTACAGTATCCTATTGCAAAACTAAATTAAATGATCCCCCTCTTCAAAAAAAAAAAATAATAGGTTGGTTTTATCAACTGAGTTGATAATGCTAATTGGCACTGTGAAGAGTTTCTGAAGCATTAGCCCTTTGTCAGAATGAATGGCAAAGGACTAATACTTGAAAAGTCAGCTCTGGAGACTCTTTGCAGTAGCCAATTTGCATTCTCAACTCAGGTGATAAAATCAAATTATCTTGTTTTTTTCTTTTAGTGTTTGTACCCCTTTAGGAGTGATAATTTAGCTTTCCATTTGCGGAGTGCATTTTTCTTATCAACCCAGCCAATAAAATCATCTTGCAATACCTCCCACTGAGGCTGCAGCACAATTCCTTTAGAAAGTTACCCCTTTACTCACTAAAAAATACATCCTTTTTGATTTGTAACAAACAATACACCATACATCAAATCACATATCTTTTTGGTTATAAAGTGCAGCATTTTTTCAAAGAAATTTTGCCTGGTCACCCTTGAACTGTCTCAGATTCAGGGTGCATCTTATAGCCAAGTATTTTCATGCAACAAAATTCAAGAATGTCCTATTTTCTAACTTTAACCTAGTATAAAACAAAAGATAAATAAAAAGCTAGGAATATTGGTTATTGACTTTACTCGACTTGGTGGTTCTGAAAAGAACCATTTTATTTATACCACTGCAAGTATGTTTTATTCGTTTCCTTGCCTTCACTATCAGTCTCAAATTTCATTGTTAATAATCTTCTCTGTTGAGGTTGAATCTTATAACCGGGTATTAAGGCTAAATTTTCAGCTTGTCAACTTGAAAGAAACAAGTTCAAAGTTTCAGGGTGCATCTTATAACCAAAAAAATGTGGTAAATAAAAACACCTCTAAGTGGTTTTACCTTGAGTTCACAATCCTCATTAACAGCTATATTACTGGGTTTCAGATCCTACAATCCAATAAAAAATTGGGAGTTAAGAAACATGTACACAATGGACTCATTTGAAGTCATTTCTCTTATTGTGCAATATAGCTTGGTTTGACACTTAACTGGCTGACATACTATTTAAGTGATCTAAAAAAATACCCACCCTGTGAATAACTCCAGCTGAATGGATGTACTGAAAAGAAAATTAGAACCATTAATGACACCTCATCAGATTTCTCTACACACTTTCAGAAATAGCTTATTTAAGTTCTGTAGCAATAGGTGAGAGCATATGCCACACCCACCATGAATGGCTATTTTTTTTTCACACAAAGCCATATGCATGCTTCACATCATCAAATAGGTTTAGGTTTGTCATCATGGTAAATAGCACTTTCAAAAGAGAAATGTGATTGTTGTCTCCCAACATGGTCACTTTGGATATGGATTGCAACATTTTGACTGCATACTGCTAGTCTGCTTCAGACAATGAGGTTTATTGAAGCATAACCACCATAAACTATATCTCAATGGAAAGGTTATGAAATGAAATGCACAATCTCTCTCTCTCTCTCTCTCTCTCTAGACGAAAAGTGTGGCACTTTAGTCACCTTTTCTCTCCCTTGTTAGAACTTCTTCAAAATCTTGCCCTTTTCAATGAAACTCTAGGAGTTACAATAACAGAGTACTGTGCATGTTTGTCCAGAGTTTTACGTCCACAACTTAAAATGCTTTTATCTTAGATGGCTTTTTACATCAAAAAAGGTACAAAAGTGCCAGTGATCGGGGTTTCGCAAACAAAAGAAGGGAACAATCCAATTTCATGTTGAATAAATAGATAGATGAGAGACTAATAAACGCTGGTATATTCCCCCGACCACCCCGCCAATTTTAAACAGGGTATTGAAGAGATTGGCAGAAAGTCGGGTGTAATAGTATAAACTTTCATCTACGTTCAAGTTTACCGTTTCGAAAAAGGCCTAAAGTTTACTCTTTGAACTTGAATGTTTTACTGCGGTCAAGGTATTTGAGGAAAAAGTCTGAAACGTTATTATGTTTGACCTTGTCTACTTAGCATTATGTTCACCAAGTTACAGCTTTTCAGCTTGCGTTGTTTTGCAATTACAGCCACTTTTTTGGAATCATGTCTTTTTGCGAAGCCGTGTTGCAAAAGTGCCACATTTGGTAACATTGAGCTAGGAACTGCGACAAAGGGAGAAATGACCTTGCACAGCGCCTGATTTCAAATCCTTTTGTA